TCCTTTACCTATCGGAATAGTCCATTGGCCAAACTTGGCTTTTGTCGAAAATATTTGCTTTATCAAAATCGTTGAAGTCGTTCTTGAGCTATCTCTCCGGAAACTCTGAAAATCACTAAATTTTTCGTAAAACAGCGTCGCGTCTGTGAAACAATACTTTCCGACTACCAGAATGTCATGAAACATATTATTACTGGCGACGAGTATTGGACCTATGCTTTACAACCCGGAACACGTGACCGATCGAATGAATATCGAGATAAAGTTGAGCCGAAACCGAAAAAATCACGTAATAGCAGGTCAAAAATCAAGGTTATGTTGACAGTTTTGTGGATTATCGAGGTGTGGTGCACACCGAATTTCTTTCAAACTGTCAAAAAGGAATATTTGTTGAGTGTTATGCATCGTTTCGCGAACACAAAAAGAGGTCGGAATTATGGGCCGGCAACTCTTGCCTTTATGCACCACGATAATATATCGTCTCATACTGCATTGTCTCTTCGTAAGTTCGTGAGTAATATCGTGCCGTAACCACCGTTTTCGTCTGATTTAACTCCGTGTGACTTTTGGCTTTTCAGCAAAATCACACAACCGCTCCCGGGGAACCGTTTAGAGTCAATTGAAGCCATTAGACGTGAATCGCTACGCGCATGGAAGGCTATTCCGGAATGGACTTTAACAACTATTTCGAGCATTGGGAAAAATGTTGGCAGAAGGTATTGGGACCAAGGGAGATTACTTTGAGGGGAACGACAGATATTTCGAAGAATATATAAAAAATTTTAAAATTATGAACAAAGCCTTACTATTTTTTGCTCATAGTAGTACATCGACGGATAGATAAACGTAAAAATATGGTTAAATCGACTCAGCTCGTCATGCTGATCCTTTGTTTCAAGTATCTCCGACGCTTCTTCTGAGTGTTACAAACTCTGTTGCAAATAGAAACGAACAGTAGGTAAGGCAAAAATCGAAATAGCACGTCAAGAATAGTGAAAGGCTGGTTTGCCATAGCATGTATTGATTTGAACATCATCAGGATATATTCATTTCTTCTATCTTCGGATTTCGGATGTACATAAATCTGATGTCGTTGCTGTCGTTTATCTTCAGTGTTACCAATCACATTGTGTCACACCATATAGTGTTGGAAAGGTGAGATTTTAAGCTTCAATTAACGAAAACAATAAAGTTCGGGGAAGTTTGAAAAAGCTACAGCTGTTCTAAAAGGAGTGAAAATAATAAAGAAAATCGCTATATTTTGGAGTTTTTGTATAAAAAGGGAAGAATGCCATGTAAGCCAACAATGAAGTTTGTGAAGCTTCCGGAGTACAGCATCGTCAGTTCGTGTAGTACAACAATGGTTTTCTCGCTTTTGTTCTAGAAATTTCGAAATTTCGATTTACACTGATGGAATAATGTCTCTAGAGAAAAAATGCCAAAAGGTGGTCGATTACATATTTGTTTATTTACTTGTTATTATAAAGAAATAAGTTGAAGTTTGAAGTACGAAAAAACCTTTTCGACTACCTAATATTTAGCGGAAGAAATTTTGCTGTCAGTTTTAGACTTCTTGCACTAATATATTTAATTTAAAGAAACTTATGAAAAAAAACTAGCTCTCAAAATTTTGGTATCTGCAGACAACTACAAGACGACGCCTGGAGGCTCAGAAAGCTAAGTCGAATCTAATCAATGTCATTGAAACAATTACAATAAGTAGTTACAGCAGGTATGAGTGACTATACGATTTTTTCTAATTTATTGGATACTTTCTTATATAAAAGCTTTGACTTCGAAGCAGTTTCAGTTGAGGAAAGCTTTAATCAAAATCATTTATTCACCATTATTCGCTTTTTCTGCGTTCTTCGTGAAAATTGTGTTACTATTGTTAGATTATTGACAAGCTGACGTAATACTTTCTGAGATATGATCACTTTTGTTATTATAATACAATAATGAGTGATCTCTTCTTTCTATGGTTTAATTAAGTTCCTTACTACAGCTACTGCAGTGTAAAATATTAAAATATATGTATATACTTAGTTAAGTCTATGTGTATGTGGATATCATTTACATATAAGTACCAAGTTGGGTGATTATTATTAATTGAAGAACAAAACAACAGGTACAACTCGGTGACAGGCCTCCAAGTAGGGTAGTATAAAATATTGATAAAACAATAATTTATTTCTTCCTCACGCCATATGAACGTGCTTAAGTGAATATATGTAACATACATACATACAAATTTACTATGTGAGTTAAAAGTACATTATCGTTTATAAACTTCCCTTGAAGAAAACCAAAAGCGTAATACCCAGGGGATCTATTTTTCTCTTGATGAAGATAATCCTATTTATCGTCACCTAAAATGAAAACAACGCATAACTAAAAGATTTGTTACTGAGTTTTTTTATTGCTTACGATTCACTGCACCATATATATGTAGCAGTAAAATTTGAGCTTCCGGTGTCACATATAACCAGTACATAACCAATATATAACCATTATATAACCAATACGTAACCACTTTATAACTCAAACTTTGTTTCAAAATGAAAGGTTTCTTTACTTATGTATGTAGAGTGATGTTGCGTTAGTTTGTATTTTAGGTGACGATACACATATATTGTACTATGTACATACATATGTACGCAGGCTCTTATATAATTATATGTAAAATCATGTGTGGCCAAAATAACAACGCACTGATGTCACACTCAAAGTGTTACCAACAGTTGTAATAAATTTAATGGCATTTGTTTATAGCCGAAATTCAGACTGAAATTCAAATTTGTATTAGAAATAAAATGATAATTACTTTACACATAAGTATGGTCTACAACGTGCCACACATAATAACTGTAATGGCCGTCCATAATAATGGTCTATCTGTTGAAGTGCTCCGTAAATGGTCGACTAATTGACGCATTGACATAATTCGTGCAAAACTTCAATTTTGACTGTTCGTCGGGCGAATACAGACATGAGCAATGCTAACGTAGGGAAGGTTTAAGTTCGGACGGAGCGGGAAATTAAATGCGCATATATTTTATATATATATGAAAAATCAGATATTATAAAACAATTTCCTTCGGAAGGCAATATTTATTTGAAGCTCATTTAAGAATCTAGTACGGCAAAATTGATATTAATTTACATCGAGTCATGGGCGAGATATATGATACGGCTGACCTCAAGGGTAAGGCTGAGCTCAGGTTACAACCGGGATCACAGTTGGCGGATAGTCGACGGCCTATGCTAAATAGGTTAGCTATGAATAGTAATACGCAGGACCCGACCAAGATCTGTAGGAGCGGAGGGCTTGGCTCAAAATACCTCATGCGCCTGATGAACCTCCGGAGAAGAGGCGAACAGATACCTCCTTTAAATAAGCGTGCATAAACCCCACTCGGGGTTGTACCGGAAAAGAATCTACCCAGGGGAGGGAGGCAACTAAGCGACGCGGGATCACACTTGGACAAGGGCCCACGAGAATCGAAGCCAGTGAGATTATGGTCTACAGGAAACCCGGAATGGATAAGAATGACGAGAAGAGTTGAAATCCGGGTAACTATCTGTCTTTCCGTTCGTCCTTTCGTCCGTGAAAGCTTGAGTAAAAATTGAGTTATTACGGGTTCGTAGATGGGCGTAATCGTACCATAAGCTTGTAAGAGCATCACTCTGTCACCTCAGTAGCTAAGAGTAACATCTCAGCGAAATGATTGACAAGCTAATATTCTTCTCATCTCCATCTCATCAAAACCCTGGCAGGTCTACAAGTACGGTCAATGTACGTTAGCATATTTTTGGCCGTACAACTTCGATGTCGATGATTAAATTAGATTAGGTTGGATGATTGAAGAGCTACCGGTGTCAGGTTCTGAATAGAAAATAAGAAAAGTCAGACAATTAGGGAGAGGCCACCCTTACTGAGGGCAAAGAGATCACTAGATCGCCTGCGATCGAACATGGGTTAAAAGGCTTTTGCGGGAGCCAAACTTCCGCGAAGCCGAGCTATCTAGTAGTAGTAGAACACAAGATTTTCAGCTATCTTAATGGATCGATCTTATAGAACTCGAAAGTGTGAAATCTTTTTGTTACTTGGGCAATATCAGCAACGGAGTCTCAAAGCAAGACGTATACCAATAGTATGTACAATAGAAGGCCAAGCAAGCTTTCGGCTCACTTAAAGTGATCTAGAGCTTTTGATAATTTGCTCACCGCGAAGCCATGGAACCCAAAATTCATGTTTATCGGGTCATTCTTTGAAATGTATGTTCTTTTCACAGAATTGCACCAAAAATCCATAAACTTTGGTGCAACATGCTGCATGGGTATAAAAACAGAAAATACTTGTAGTTGTTGTACATATGCATTGTTGTACTAGTAATATAAACAAACGTAAACAAATCGATTAAAGTAAAAAGAATTTTTGCAATATAACTTTTATAAATAGCTGTGATGGAATGCTGTTTCGCACCACACAAGTATATACCATATGTATATATACAAGTATGTATGAGTGTATATGGATGTAAATATGTACATATCAGCAGAATAATTAATATACATAATTCAATAAATTCATATCGAAAGCCGTGTCATACAATCGCTTGACGTGCTTCTTATACTTAATTCGCTTGGTTGGACATAGATGGGCCGCTAGTCTATTTATATGGTACTCTCCATTACCGTTGTGCGCGTAAGGCAATTAAAAAATGCTTATAAACAAAAAGCAAAATCAAGCAATAAATATTATAAAAGCCTTATTTTTTCATAGACACACAGACGCAATTATATTTCAGTCAAAAAGCATCATTCTTTGCATTCCACACTTTTTCTATCTTTTAAATTATAATTTTTATTCAACATCAGATATTTTATATTTTAATACCAAATATATACCAAATTCATTACCAAACATATCATATACTCAATATATAATCCAATGAGAGACAAAATAAATAATATTTTTTATATTCTCTTCTTTGCAGTCGGAATCAGTTTGTCACAAATGCAACGAAATCATCACGAAACGCATCATAACCGCGCTCGGCAAAACCTGGCATCCGGAGCATTTTGCCTGCAAGGACTGCAACACACCCATCGAGGAGGCCACATTTAATATACAAGATGGTGAGCCAGTGTGCTCCAAATGTTTTCTGAAAAACTACTCAGGCACCTGTCATGGCTGTAAGCAACCCATTTTGGAGGTGAGTACAACTATGCTGATTTATGCTTAAACGTTTTTGATTTAGAGATTAAGAATGAAAATAAATGTAGAAATTACTGCCCCAGTACATTTTTAAAGAAACCTCTTTGTGATTAAAAAGGAAACCGATTACTTACTAGAGAATTTTGTTTTTATAGTTAAGATTGAAAACTGTCTGTATTTTGTACCGTATTTTCATGGAATATAGGTGAAGCTGAAAATACTATTTATTTCAAGATAATTTAGAAGAGGTTAGGTCGTGATGTTGATCCTAGCGCCAGTTGCGAACATATTGGTACATTTTAATATCATAAAACCATTAAAAAGGTATTCACAGACGTAGGCCATAAATAACTTAGACTTAGTCGGAAGTACTCATATAGCTGACTTAGACCATAAAACTAACTCGTCGGATCGATGACTTAAGAGATTATGAGATAGATCACTAAACGAGCAGAAAACGGAAATATGAATGATCCAGACATAAACTGACCGATTGGCTTACTTGAGCGATCATGTCTGGTAGATTATAGCCACGTTTCGTGAACGAAAAATTGAAAAGCTTCCGAATAAATTAGCCGATATTGAATACTAGATAATCATACTATTATTTTCGTATTATGTTTTATATCAAATCGCTAATTTTAGTGTACTGTACCAAACCGTAGATATTTGGAATTCAGTATAATTACTTTTGGTAGACGGTCCTAGTGGTAAACCAGCTTCTCAACTAAGAATTAATCAAAGCGAATTTAAAATGGTTTGTGGATATCGCAATCTGTCTGTGGAATGTCTGGAATGTGATTCCCTATTTGCAAGACCATCAGTTATCTTGAGATCCAATATAATACTCATAGAATTAAAATACGTTCAATACTGGAGTCGATTCGGCGCCGTTCGCAGCAACTCGGACTGGCGTATGGAACGACTTGGCACTTTTTACGTTGAGATCTTAAATTGAAAGCTCACAAAATACAGCTTGTGCATGAACCGAAGCCGTTCGACCTTCCCCACCGACATCGTTTTGTTATAAGGGCTCTTGAAAAGTTCCAAGAAGATCCGATGCTTACTAGCCAAATTTTTTTCAGCGATGAAACCCATTTCTGACTCAATGGGTATCGTGATCTCGGTAACTTTTGGTTTCAACAAGACTTCTCACAAATCGCTTTTACTGCGGAAATACTTTACTGAGCAGATAATTTCCCGTTTTGTGCCTTTTGATTGGCCAAAGATCGTGTGTTATCACACCTTTTAGACTGTTTGCTGTGGTGATATGTAAAGTCTAAAGTCTACTCGTGTTATTCGCCCGTTACCAGTGGCAATGCTCGAACGAGTTATTAAAAATAGGACTCAACAGATGGACCATCTAAGGCGTAGCCGGGCCAACATTTCAAAAAGATAATTTTCAGAAAATAAGTACCAAATAATGTTCTTTCGAATGATAGTGAACATTTCCCATTAAATTTGAAGCTTCTGTGTTTTTTTTTTTTGTAAAGAGGTAGGGAATCTCGAAATGGATCAGCCTATATAATACTTATGATAGAGAAAAGGATAAAAGAATATTTTACATGAATGGTGTCAGCAAAGTTACCCTTAGTAACTAACGATTTAGACATATTTTTAAGAATGTTTTCAAAGTATCTAAATTCTTCTCCTCTCAACAATGAAGCTTTTTTGTCAAGGCATAAATGAGAGCCACAGCTCATTTTCAATTAATATCAAGTAGAGGTTGCAGATATAAAGGCAATTACAGACCTCATTTTTGTCTGTTAGTTAACTATATATTCGTAGATTCCCTCCTCAACTCATTATCTTATGACCGGTTGATTCTTCTATTTAGAATAGACTCTGGCTCCACACATATTTGCTACATTTAATTTCACTTGAAGTCTAAATCTGCTTTCCACTCATTAACCTTTTGACCTTAATTACCTCGACAAAGAAGTTGAACTCATAAACATGCTTTGTATTCTCTACGTTGAACTAAATGAAGCTAAGCTCAAGTAAAAATACTAAGTATGCAAATCGACATGAAATAAGTGCTCGTTGTTGTTTGGCTGTGTGTGTGTATGCTTCTGAGATTAAGCGCTTTACGCAATTAAATTTATTGAGATTGGCGATCTTTTGTTCTGCAGAAATTTGACTCATCGCTTAAAATACAGAATATTCAAAGAATATTATTATTATTTTTTTTTAATTTTGCAAAACGTGTAGACCAATTTTGAATGGAAAGTTTTGTAATTTTTTTGGCTAATTAGCGAATCGGCTTACTTGTTATTATTTCGGGCAAAGTTGTTATTTTTTATCGCTCAACATATTGTATCATTAATCTTAAAGCAATAAAGTTTATAAGTAAATATGAGCCTCTGGTCCATATTTGTTGGGTGCTGTCAAAGAAAATACAATTGAAAATTCGCTTTGAAGCTTTTTCACCGTCCTTAAGAGGGAGATGGTGGTGGGCGTTAATGAATACTCCACAATGTCTTTAAACTGTCGCAGATGCGCGCAAAATGAGTTATTTGGTAACTCAGCCGCAAATGATTCATTAAAATCTTTATTTAATGAAGGTGGACGTGAAAAAAAAAACAAAAAAATGTATTTATTTTTTATGATTTCATTCCACTTTTTTTTTTTTAATTTATTTTTTGTTTTTTTTTTTTTCGATTACGAAATTAAAGTCATGTTTTTTTTGAGTAGAAAACATCATGCTTTCTTCAAACAAAAAAGGCAAACAAGCAACAATTTCAAGTAACACAAAAAGTCTCCAACCCACACGGCTAGCAATGTGTGTACATATGTGCGCCTACACCTTTTTCTTGTAAAACACTCGAGAAGAAAGTTAAAAAGTTATGAGAGATGACTTGGAGCGTCAAAAAGCCAATTTTACTGACAACATGGTACTCAACGGAACTAAATAAATATGTTGCGCATGCGCACAAGTGCCACTATACGCGTAAAGCTATAAAATCACACGTACACATACATACTTTGTATGCATACATACATGTATGTACATATATAGCAATCAGACTAACAAAACACCCAAACAAATAGTTTTTAATAAAAAACATATGGAAAATAAATCAAATATTTTACACGCCGATTTCGGTTTAAATAGGTGAAATACAGTGGTGGCCATAAAACTAAGCACACATACCAATGTTCAGTTTAGTAGTATTGTAGTACCGAAGTTTAATAGTAGTCCGGGTTCGTTACTGTAAGTTCCTATTTTCGATGACACCCAATGATCTCCTGCAATTCTGCTGAAGTAGTAATGCGAATACTATTTCGGAATAAGCAAAGCGCATAAAACCGAGTTCTACTATACCAACGAAAGTCGTATCTGTTTTTAATGGAAAGGACAACTCTTTTAAGTCCGGCTTTGCAAGCAGATCTATCCATTTGTCAAATAAGGGCAAGATCCAATGTATCTTCGAGTTAACTGAGCAGGTTTCGGTATGATCGGTTTTTTTTTTTTTTGTCGGAAAGGGGCGATGTTGGCCGTTCATACGACAGTCCAGTCTACGTAACCGGAACGGACCCGGACATTTTATCCGTTCAAGGACAAGGACCACAACAATGGGCAGGGTTAATATACTATTCAGAACCCTCTGTCAACTTAAGTGCCAGACTTTCTGAATACTGTAACCTTTTTCAAGATTGCCATAGGTTTACAGCTAAGAAAAGCAGTTTCCTTCAGAGATGTAACTATCAACTCTGATGGCAGTGATACTGGCCTCGAGCTCACCAATACTGTATTCGACGCAGAAGAGTCCGGGTGAGGCAGAGGAAGAGGAAGACTTTCACCCTGTTGGAAAGAAACCTGGCTATACTTGAATCTCCAATTGGCGCCAAACAACGCAAAGAAAGAACGATTGGCGTGCTATCGTAAACTCGGCTATAATCGCGTAAGCGGTGTCAATGTCAATAATGTAGAAGAAACTCGTTATCTCCGTTCTTCTTGAGCGATCAGTTACTGTGCTTCGCAGGAGCTCAACCTGCACTGGAATCCATCGGTTCTTGTGCCATCGCAATATCCTTTCGGCCAAAGGTCGATCGTAAGAGATCCAGTTAGCTCTTTGCTCTCATTAAGAAGAGCTTCTCCCTAGCTTTGGTGGATTTTAAATGGTCATTACATGCTGTAAGGTTGAGTGTCTTACCGGAAACTGCAGAAGTTGTAGGGAAGAGAACAAGGTGGAAACATCTCATCTCTTCCTTATTGACTGTTTTGCATGATCAAGGCTTGGGAACTAATACTTTCAGGTATCCCAATGAGCTGGTAGGAATTTAGATTTAACGCCGAACTAAATTTGTGTTGGCTCAAGGCTTTTTGTCGACTTTTAGGATCGAATACCAGGAGTTCTCTATTTTGGATACACAGCCATATATTTAAATACTGCAATATATTTACATCAGCTTTGATTAACCTATATTTTATATCGGTAGAGTTTTGTAGTGAGTTCAAATCTGTTAAACAATTATTTTCTCGTGAAAGGTATATCTAAGAGTAGAAGTTTTTTATGACCCAAAACAAAACTTTTGAAATGTCTCCAACTACATGGCCACCACTGTTCAAACAGCAAAAAAAAAAAAAATTAAAATAAAAAAACTGGAGATAGAAAGATAAGTGTGTGCAAGATGCAAGCAAAAACAAAAAATGAAAATCAACTGTGTGTAAATAAAATCACAAGCCAGTCTGTCTGACGCAACGCAGTAAAACGAGAAATAAAATAAAATAAACAAAAGAATACAATAATCAATAAAAAATAAGAGCGAGCGGAACTTAATTATGAAGTTATGCGATTAATAAGATTGAAGTGAATCGAAGTGGAATGACAGCGGTGAAGAAATTCAAATTCGAGCCCAAAGCAAAGCTTAAACGACAATACACCGAAACTGAAAGTTATTGAAATAACGAAGTCTTTGAGGGGCTTTCCGAAAGGGCAAACAAGATAAGACAAGAGTGTCAAAAGTGCAGAAGTACATGTAAATAAAAATAGA